CATAGCATTAAGTATTCCCTTTTCCCAAGCTAAAGAAACAGGTATCAGAAGCCTATGATCTTTATAATCATATATAGAGGACAAGATAGAAACACCCAAGGCCTGTCCTCTTGAGAAACTTAGGTGCGGGCGTTTCCCGGCCGGTTAGGGCAATTTAGGCGTAGGTGACCTCTAATTCCGCAATACATACAAAGCCCCTCCCTTCTCCTGTACTGTCTTTCCTCTTCTGAGAGTCGAGTGTTACCTATTTGCATAGGTTCTGGGAGAGCTAAAGTAGTAGAATCAGAACTCTGAAATGAGGGAGCTAGTCTTATGGAGGATCTGCGGGTTCTATCCCGAGTATTCTGCCTCTGTCTCATACGTTCATCTATTCGGGAAATAAATGAAATCAAATCCTCCAAATTTTCAGGAAGTTCTCTTGTGGCAACCTCATCTAAAATCTCATCAGATAACCTGTTCATAAATACGTCCATATAAGCCTGTTCATTCCACTTGACTTCTGCCGCCAAGGATCTGAACTCTAACGCATAATCCACGAGGGTTCGGTTATACTGTCTAAGACGTAACAGTAGTCTAGCTGCATTGGCCTTTCTTCCTGGGGGGTCAAAAGTTCTCCTAAATGCAGCGACAAAAGCATTATAATTGTAAACTAACGGGTTATCATTTTCCCACAGGGGGTTAGCCCATCTAAGTGCCTTGTCAATGAGCAAGGTGATTATAAATCCAACCTTCGCCCTGTCAGTAGGGTAGGCGTGGGGTTGTAACTCAAAATGAATACCTATCTGGTTTAAAAAACCTCGACAAGTGTCAGGAGCGCCGCCATAGCGTGAAGGGGAAGTAACACGGGAAGAAGCAGCCACTGTGGCTACCTCTAGGCCTGTACTTACAGGAGAGATAGATGGGGTACGCATCTCCTCTGAGTGATTACTAGGACGAGATAGCAATGCTTGCAGAGCTAGAGCCATCTGGTCCATTCTATGATCCATGGCCTCAAATCTAGAGTCAGGAGAACCGACCTGAGAGTTTGTACCTGCAGGATCCATTGGCCCTGTCGTAATGTCAGGATCGTGACAGGGATCCAACACGCAGAATACAAACAGGAGATAGGTACGTATACCAGACCTTAGAATGGCCGGACTAACGTAAGGAGAAAGCAAAGAATGGTCAGAGACAAGCCGAGGTCGAGGGAACGAGAGAGTAGGTAAGCGAGAGACAAGCCGAGTCAAAAGGACAAGAGAGGAAAGCAGGGTCAAAAATACAAGCCGAGTCAGGAACCAAAAGACAATAGAGGTAAGAGCACTGAGTGACCAGACTAGCTAGAACCACGACAGGGCAATGAATCATTCTACAAAACCTTCTTTTATACCTTGGCTCTTTAACTGTTGGCTCCGCCCCCAACGAATCCTGATTCGTTGTTCGGCACTTAGTTGCCGTGATTGACGGGTCGGAACGTGATTGCCGTCATGACGTCGGCTACTGAGCGCCGTGTCATAAAAGGAGGCGGAGCTATCGCGGCCGGCGTGTAAACGGCCGGGAGGAGTGCGAGGATCGGGTGAGTCAGCCCCCCTAGGAGGATGGACGTCTAGGTGTCTAACCTCCTCCGAGGTAGACACCAATGGTAACCTGACACAAACTAGAATTCCGAACAATGGATCAGATAACTGCAAATTATAAGTACAAATAGCAAGTGGAAAAATGACCCAACTCATCTACTTTTCAGCAAGGTTGTTTTGGTCTAAAATGTAAAATTTCCCCGAATGAATTCCTCACAATGTCTGCATTATTAAAGGCGCTCCATAATTGTTGTCCCCTGTTCTAATACCCTTAATTGATCTCGATATTATGTTTAATGACCTGTCTGGTTACAAGGAGTCTGCAATGTGTAGCACATATTCCAAGGTCATTTCTGTGGAGTTGAGTAAATGCTAAGTGTGATACACTCGAATACACTTCCTGTTTCTGTTCAAATCACAGGATGTCAATGAAATTCAATTAAAAGGCTTAATATGCCAGGCACGGGGTCAAAGGTCCCCATCTTCTCATTCTAAAATCCTTTATCAAGTTATCTACCTGGAAAACAAAACGTCTTTTTGTCTCAGTTCAGTAGCAGAGTTTAACCCATGCTGTGGGTGATAAGGCATGATTTGTTTTAACTCTTTGAGTGACAGAGAGGTGAAATAAATACATTCTGAAATATTTTGTGTACCCCTGGCTTCCCGTGTCACTCTAGCTGTATATAATAAGTGGCCACTTACAAGGTTTTTTCGCTAAACTAAATCTAAAATAGCTGATCTGCAAAAATTGGCCATGGTCCTAGTTTATCTATATCTGCATCATTTAGCTTTAATTCATGAAAATTCAGAGTGTAGTTAATAACGCAGTTAGTGTATTTATCAGCTGTCATATCATGGTAATTAAATGCTGAATAATGAAAAGCTCATCAATCACATTGGTTGGGACTAGACTAGACTAGGCTGGACCTACGTGACATTTTGGCAGTAAGGAAGCCGTTAAGTATGCCCCCATTTCACATATTATATTAATGATATATATTTTAATAAAAGGTTCATTTTAGAAAAAAGTCATATTTCCAAACAGAATAACTTTAACATATTGATGGAAAATTTCCAACATTTGGTAACTGTTGTGGATTGTACCGTAACAACCAATTACAGCTATTGTAAAAAATAATAACATTTTTAGAACCCACGGGGGTTGGCTTCATTAGCACAGATTAATACTCACATTGCAGCACAATATCACTAACAGCGTATGCACTAAAGTGAGGATTGTGGGGAATTCAGAGAGAATTATAGTGAAATTTCAAAATTAAGACCAAAATAGCTAAACTTGAAAAAACTTGAAAAACCTTTGCCAGCAATGCAACTGTTTTGCCCTTACTTTAGTAAATAAGCCTGGAAAAGATCTTACAAACAATGCACAATCTTTCTAGGAGATCTTTGCTCCATGGTAGGCCACCTTCAGCTCTCCTAGTGTTGTAGACTCCATCTCCCCCGATGCTTTGCCAGCATTATTGCTGGAGTGCAGAAGGTTGCCTACACGTGCCCTAGATCATAAAACTGTATGAGATGAATCGCTGATGGCATGATTTGCATCGCCGTCCACTTTCCATTAGTTCAGGCACTGTGCCAAAAATCAGCGAAAACTTCATATTCACAATCCACCCTTCAAAGTTTGATGGAATCGCCTTAGCAGCCACCTCGGTTAAATATAGCTGTCAAACAGACCTATTTAGCTAAAGTGTGGACACAAATCAAACATTTGCAAAGCAATCCCAATACTTTATGGAATGTGTCCAAGTGCGCACAGTTAAGTCTGCAACACTTTTCCTAACAGATCTTGTCTCGAGAAGAGCGATGCAGAAGAGGTTTCACAGCACGATGAATCCGTGTATTGAGATCCTTTAACCCAGCAATCAAAGAGGACCTGTCGCTTTCTGGGATTTCACTCTCATGCTTATGCATCCCCTATACTGGGAGAAAATAAATATGCAAAACTCATCTTTGTCAAGTCAGCAAAATAAAATAATATATAGAAATCCACAGGACAGTATTTGCTCTTATTGAAACACTGAGCACCTCGATCGTGGCTCTCTGTCAGTCATTGTTATACGCCCTACCCTTTTCTGTCATTTAAAAAAAAGAACAGACTTTGCACGTGTTAAAGAGACCTACTCTCAACTTGTATGGAATAGCTTCACGGAGTTGCACATTGTCAATGGCCAGGAGATAACGTAGTAAGTAGAGGAGATTCATTATATCTGTTGATCCTGATGACACTGTGCATCAGTCCAGCATCCATTTTGTAGCCATAGCTGGTTATATGTTCTGGCAATGCCAACCAATGAATGCCCACCCCATACTATCTCTTGATAACTGAGAGTGCATTATTAATAATAAGGGTTATAGCTTTTTTTTTTTTTAATTGTTTTTTTTCTAGGTTTTAGATTTTTACATCTTTGTTCTCTGCTCATGCACAGGTCAACCCCAAAAGACCAGCTTGGTGATGCGCAAGAAGATACCTGTTTGCCACAGCCATTACTAGAGCCTGAGGTTGGATATTTTTTTTTACATTTTTGTGAACCTTGTTCTTCACCGTTTGACAAAGTAGTCCCACATTTGTCTTGTGATATCTTAGCATTTCATTGGAATTTCAATGAGATTCCAGCACAATCATTTGATGTTTACGGAATGCTCAAAAAGTATCCAGAGGAGACAGGGCCTCTTTATTATATAATTAAAATAAAATAAAACCTCACTAAAACATAATGTTATATGTCATTTTCAGTGTCTTGTTCAGTGATGCAATTTGTATAGAAATGATGGTTTCCCTGAAAGTAATAATGCAAAGTCCTGTTTGATACATGTAGCAGTTTAAGCAGTAGGTATTGCTGTTAGCATATAAACCCCCCCAATGTTAAGATTATTATAGGACCCACTGATATTGGGATACTGTCACGTAGTGGTGGGCCGTATGGTGGAACTGAATCTCCATATTTGTTTGCTGAGATTTTAGTCTTGTAACATTGAAACCTGTATTTTTCTTGTGTGTGGGCTGTTCCTTGAAGTAGCACTATAATGTCAGGAAAACAACCATGTATTCTTGACACATAGAATGTGACGGCAGAAAAGGAACCATTCGGCCCATCTAGTCTCCCCAATTTTCTAAATACTTTCATTAG